ACCAGTCCCGGGTGAGTGAAAGTGCATTCACAGTGACTTATGGCTCGAGGTGCGGAGGCATATGTCTTCGACGCAAGCTCAGAAATTGAATTTATTCCGCCCATTGGGTTCCTAGTGGGTTTTCGACTGCTTGCGTGATTGGGCTTTGCGACTGCGCTGACCTTTCCTTTACTTCAAGGTCTGACGTTCCCGTCTGCGTAAACCCTCAACCCGCACAACTTCCTCGACGAAAGCCCCAGCTCTCCCAAGAGGTGTCAGGGGCCTTCATAATTAGAATAGGGTTTTGGGGTTACCTTATATTGTATCTATAACAAGGAACCCCCAAAAGAGTATAGGTAACTATTAAGGCCCCCTCCCCACCTATATTAGGCGTGTTCGGGGGCCGCTCTTTAAGCAGCTTTGAGGACCCCGGGCTCGGGAAGCGCCCACCTTGACAGTGGCCGAAAGCTGATCTGGATGGCCTTCGGATCTAATTTTTTTTTTCACCTCTTTTCCACCTGCCTGGTTTAGTTAGGTCGAATGCCATATTTGGCTGAGGCAGTTCCATTAACCAGATCTTAAAGGGTTTAGGCTTTAGGGGTTAGGGGACTTAGGCACTGGGGTATGGTTTGGGCTTAGGTTTTTGGGGGTAGGGAAGATCTGGCAAAACTTATTTGGCATTCTTTGCGTTGCAAACTGGAAACCGTGGAATTCCCGGAACAGTGTGCTCCTGATTTTCCTGGCGGGTCTTTGGGTGGTCGCTGGTGGTCTCCTGGTGGTCTCTGTGGGTTCTCTTGCTCGTCGTGGTCGTGGTCGTCATGATCGTCTTCTTCGTCTTGGTCGTCCTTTTCATCCTGGTCGTCGGAACCCCCTTGGTCCAACCAGCGTTCTGCACGAGAGTGTGCCTGCCACACGGTCCTTTACTGTTTGCGGCTCGATGCTGGCACAGTATCATTTCGTTATTTTTGGACTGCTATCGTTCCAACAGGAACTGCACGATGAAAGTGGATGGTACCACGATGGACTGCATCCGGCAAAACACGGCGAAACTCGAAGCCTCCTCTGTCTTCGAAACCCTACTCAACTTCCCAAGGTCCCCAAAGGTCCCAAAACCCAAACCCTTAGCCTAAAGAAACCAACCGCTGTAGGCTTACAAACAAGAAGCAGATTAGCTGAAACGCTCTTGGAGTGACGCCTAAGGTCTAGCTTTCCTCAACGTGAAACCGAAACCCCTCTTGAAATGACCGAAACCCACTGAAACACATCGTCAGTGTCTTTGCCTTGCGGTCGAAACGTGGCCTGGTCGAGCAATGCATGGGACTTCGTGATGTCAAGGAACATTTGATTGTGGGTTGGGTTGCGTTTGAGGTTTGGAACCCATTCGAGTCCGACACTTTCGGGGCATCGGCAATCGTAGTGGGAGTAGGACCGGGAGGAGAAGGAGCAGTAGCAGCAGCAGCGGCTAGTAGCGCCTATTATTACTATTATTACTATTATTACTATTATTACTATTATTACTATTATTACTATTATTACTATTATTACTAATATTACTATTGTTACCCTCTTATGTTGAGAACATCCAGGAATCGGGAGCCTGGACGGAATGAGCCGGCCCCAGGTGTGGCCGGGCAGTGTGACCTGGGCAAGTCGACATCGGACACTTGGAGGTTCATGGGTAGTTATAAGTAGGGTTATAAGTAGGGTAACTATAATAATAACCCATATTAGGGGACTTATAACCCCACTTATAACTACCCATGAACCTCCAAGCAGGGCTTCAGAAATGCACAGTTCCTGCCTTTGAGGTCGACCGTGGACAGAACGCGCTTTCGAATCTTTTGAGGTGTCTGACTTACGACATCCGGCTCAGCAGGGCGGAGCTGAACTGTTCGTTTCTAGATGCCGGGGCACATCTCCCCCAAAAAACAACGTGCATGCAACGGGTCAGGGCAGCACAGGGTGTGATCTCTGACGATGTTGAGGAGCTCAAGAACACCAAAAAGGAAGAACTGCCTGAGGGGAGCGTGTTCCCTGAGCCCAGCACCACCCGCATGGAGGGGAACGCCTGAGGACTGCTCCCGGAAGTTGGATCCATCCTGGCTTCTGCGCATGGCTTGCATGTGGATGCTACTGTATCAGTGCTGAGGGCAAGTTCACACCTGAATCTGCCCTGGACATAGCTGCTGAGCGGGGGAGTTCCTAGTTAGCGGCCGGACATGCATCAACGGACTCAAACTGCGCTGGACCCTGGCATGCTCTCTGCACGGCTCGACCGAGGCCAAGGATGAAAGACATTCTGGGAACATGCCCGACGAACCAAACCGTCAAAGAGGGCTTTGCCCTCGTAACCCAAGCAAACAGTCAGAGCTGAACCTTCCGGTAAAATCACAGCTCACTGCCTGCATCTGCATCTGCCGAACCAGGGCGTTTGCTGGGTTTGGCATTCGGCCTTCCGGGATCCGGGACTGCTTGCCCACTCGCCTACGTTCTGATGCATGGAAGCAAGGTCCATGCCTGCCCACCGCCGCAAACCGACTTGGTCAATTTGCTTCAGTCATTCAATGTTTGTGGCCTTCAGCTTTGTACTAATAGCGTAACAAGCGGTGTGTAGAGCTGGCGACATGTTGATGATACTTGTGTTAAACAGACACGGTTTCACATCTCCTGTGGTGCTCATGATTTCAATATAGCCTGGCTGATGGGCTTCAGGCGTGATGTGATCTGCCCCACTCGAGCCAAGGTTCACGGACCACGCGACAACATCCAATGGTTAAAAAAGTTCTAAGACTGGCTGCTTGCAACCTTTCGTCACTGTATTAAACTCTACTCTACTGTACTCTGCTATAGTCCACTCTTTTGTGCTATACATTATTATGCTACGCTATACTATACCTCACACCACTTTGCTTCGCTATGCTGTGCTATACGCTACGCTACTTACCTACACAACACTACACTACACTGTTCTGTACTATACTAGACTAAAGTAGGCTGGAGTCGACCAGACTAAACTAGACCAGACTAGACTCAACCAGACTAGACTACACGAAGCCATACTATACTAGATTAGATTATTTGAAACAATAAGATACGCACGATACTATAGTTAAGGTGTAGAGGATCTTCGTCGATCGCACAAAAGAGCACGGGCATCAGCTTCGGGAAGCTTCCTGGCACGACCGAATACCGGGACAGTAAGGCGCTTGTGGAAATTCTAGTATAACTGAATAAACATGAAAAATACTAACAGTAAATACTAATGATGCTATACTATTGTGCGTGTGTGTGTGTGTGTGTGCATGTGTGTCTTTGTGTCCGTGTCTGTGTCTGTGTCTGCGTCTGTGTGTGTCTCTGTCTCTGAGTGTGTCTCCGTCTGTGTCTGTGTCTGTGTGCATGTGTGTTTGTGGTCGTGTTTATGTTTGTGTTTGTGTGTGTGTGTGTGACTGCGTGTGTGTGTGTGTGTGTGAACTTCCTCACCACATGGGAAAAAAGGGTCACTCTTACATTGGTCTACGTTTCCGCACTTGCCAGGCCCGTCATACCTACCTGACGCAACGAAGCTATTATGGTGTGATTGGGGAAGCACCGGTCGGCCACCGCTATCCGGAGCTAATACGGGCAGCGGCATGTGCGGATGGCGTCATGTGCAACTGACCACTGCTTGACATCCGAGAAGAAGCAACGACGACCCCCCAAGGCAGTCCGAGTTCGGGTGGTCCACCATTGCCCACCGCAGGAGAGAAAACTCCGGCTGAAAAGATTTTGTCTCAGGAGTTGACGAGACAACCCGCCACGATGCCTACTTCGGACACCAAGTCTGCTTTGGACAAAGGGCTCCGAAATCATCACAGCCAGTTTCGTGGCAAAGCCAATGCATTTAAGAATGGGCATCTAACAAAGAGGCTCGTCAGAGTCTGCTGATATGGTCCCGGAACGCTGGAACCACGTAGCCGCAGCCCCCCGTGGTGTCCAGATTCGTTTTTGCGGCCGTCGCGTGTGTGAAGCAACGAACAACAACCCCCCTCTTCTCTGCTGTCCTCTTGCTCTTGCCTAGATACCACCAGTGTGTCTGTCTGTCTGCCGGTCTATCTGTGTGTGTGTGTGTGGGTATGGCTGTGGGTGTGGGTCTGGGGGTGTGGGGGTCTGGGATATTGGGTGCACGCGTGCATTCGTCCGTTCGTGACTTCGTGCGTGCGTGCACTAGACCACGCAGGCACGATACAGAACTATCACTAGACTACACGATACGATACGACTCTGTACTTGGAGGTTCATGGGTAGTTATAAGTGGGGCTATAAGTCCCCTAATATGGGTTATAATTATAGTTACCCTACTTATAACCCTACTTAGAACTACCCATGACCCATGAACCTCCGAGTACACCATACTGAAGGTGTTGAGGACCTTCGGCCTTGGATCTTCGTCTTGGGCTTTCGGGATCGCACAAAGGACATCAGCTTCGGGAAGCTTCCTGTCACGACTGAACATAGGGGGCCTGAATAACCGACGTAGGGTTGTTGTGGCCACTATAGTAGAACTAAATAACAGGGACCATAAGGCCGTAAGGGAACACTATGTCCTAATTGCCTAGGCCTCTATACTATATGCGGACCCCGCGCTCCTTCTTTTGGCCGCCACCCAACAGTTCAGTTCAAGCTATGGCAACATGAAGAAACGCAAACTTCAGGCCGATCCGCTTCCATCTGCCAAGGCCGTTGGGAATCATCTGTTTCTAAAGCTGCTGCTTCTGGTGCCGGATATGCTGGCACAGGAGGTAACCAAGTCTGTGGCCCCAGCACGGAAGCCCATACTTCGAGCTGAAAGCATCATGCCACGAGTTGTGGTCTTCCTTTCCAACTCCTCTTCTCTTTTAAGGGCCTTCAATGCCCAACTCCACAGAACGTCACTGGCCCCATGTCTCCAGATACGGCTTTTTTTATGTGACTGTCTCTCTCTTTACGGGAGCCAAATAACTCAAGCCTCAAAAAATCTTTGGTGAGAGGTTTCGCAGAGAGTCTCATTTCAGGGCCGCCTCGATCGCCGCGTAGGGGGGTACCTCACCACACAACTTCGAGGCTGCCGGGTGTTTGCAAAGCTCGGAAGAGGCTCTTTGAAGCGCAGAACGCCCTCGGTAGAACTGCTTCAAACCACTCGCTGCTGAGTCAACCACCGTGCAAGGTACCGTGATACAAGGATCCAACCCCGGTCCCCCCAGCCATCCGCACCGAGTGGACGTCGCCGTAGGCTGCCAGCGAAAGCTTCGATCCCAGGATCTTCTTGGCAGCAGCTGTGACCTCGAGAACAGAAGAGTTGTCGGAGGAGTTGAGCCGAATCTTGCTGTGATGGCGAGGTGGGTGCAGCAGCAGCAGCAGCAGCAGCAGCAGCAGCAGCAGCAGCAGCAGCATGTTGATGATCTTGGGGTCTTAATAACTAAAATAAGGCCTTGGGATTCATTATACTAGAGCTACAGGCGGCTATGAGGATTATATGGTAGTCTCTCACGAGGGCTCTTTCTTCTTCCTTGATACTTGGAGGTTCATGGGTAGTTACAAGTGGGGTTAGAAGTACGCTAATATGGGTTATAATTATAGTACCCTACTTATAACCCTACTTATAACTACCCATGAACCTCCAAGTAACAAGTGTGCCCTAAATCCTAAAGCCCTGGAGCCCTGAACCGCAAACCGTAAGACCCCAAACCCTACACCCGAAAAGCCAAACCCCCTCACCCTGCAGCCCCCAGACCCCCCAAAAATGCCCCACCCTCCAACAAATAAAAACCCTCAAATCCCAGAAACCCCCTAAAAATGGCTCCCAACAAAAACCAAATATGGCCCCCCAGAACCCCCCAACAAAAACCCTCAAAAGACCGAGAGGCATCCGCTTCCGTCACGCCGTCGATGATCTTCCCGAACTCCGCCGCCGAACCGTACCTCGGCAATAGCCCAGTAGGGGTATGTACAGGGGTATAGCGGTATAGGGGGTCAGGGTATAGGAGTATAGGGGGTTCTGGTGTAGGGTATAGGGGTTTAGGGGTTTAGGGTTTAGGGTTTAGGGATCTAGGGGTTGTGGGGTGTAGGGGTTTAGGGATTAGGTTTTAAGGTTCGGCGTCTTGGGGTTTTGGGTTCAGGGTTTCGGCGCTCACG